TTCTCTTCCCGCTGTCCTACCTTTCGTGTCTCCCTCCTCTCAAGTTACTTTGCACTGGGGGAGTTCCTTAATGTTCCTTAGAACCGCCCATGAATATCCTCCAGACCAGTAGCCAATGAACAGGGTGTTGACTGTCGGATTTTTGAATAGCAAGGAAAAAGGATTTTAAGAATCACATGCCAAGTTTACTCAGACTTACTCCTGAATATTCTTGAATCATGCCATCGGTATGGCCCTTGAGTTCGCCATCAGACATCACCGACCTTATGGAAAAGCTTTGCCGCTAGGAACTGGGTGCAGCAAAATCACGACCGCTTGGCCCAGAAAGCAGGCGGGACGGGACACGGCGTTGATTCCAGTCATTTTTGCGAGGGGTGGGGACGGCATAGAGTCGGCGCCAAAATGTTCAAAGTATATAGGCTTGAGAGGTGGTGTTTCTGATTACGCCTAAGAGCTGCTGGCAACTGTTCGGGCGCGACTGAAGCATGCCACTTGCTCAAGGACTGTGCTAGAATGGTTGACATATCCCAACCAGACCTGTCCTGTGACTCAGCTCCAAGACACGGCGACGAGGTGAGAAGATGCAAGCAGAGTCAAAGTGACATGTTGCTTAGTGCGACTTGCGCGGCGTGCGTCTTCAGCAGTGTGTAGAAGTTTCATCCGTCAAATGGGAGAAACCTGTGTGTTCAAGAGTTCTGCTGGTTTGCACCCTTTTCCGCAGGCTTTCCTCAAGCAAAGCTGAATGAAATCCATGGCGCTTGGGGAGACACCAAGAACATGGCCACTGTTCTTTGCGGCGTTCTTTCGGTGACGACGAGGGGTTCGGTGACCTGAGGGACATGTTTACAGCTTGCACGTGATCCTTTGGATATCCTCTGGATATCTCTCGATCCCCAAGTGGTTTCTCTTGTGGCAGACTTCAACCAAGTTCTGCACGTCTATGTCTATGTCCCCTCCGTCCCCTCCACCACAAAAAAACAGCGATGGCAATCCTTCGGAACCTTCGGGTGAAGTTCTTGTGTGGAGACAGCCCTGTACCTTCTTTGAAAGAGTTTGAGCACTGTGGGGGGGGACACGTTTTCATACTTTTTTGTCCAAGCCCTGTGACTATTCAGATAGACTGGTTGGGTATAGCTAGCTTAGCAGATCTGCCAAGCTGTCCGTGACATATTGGGTGCTGCAAGAGGTCCCATAGTAGCATTACTATATTACTGTATATAGTCCTGAATGACTCGGCCACGCCGGCGTTCCAAGCCGTTCCAAGTGCTTGCAACATCGAAACATGCCCAATGGCATCCAATGGCTGTCAAGGCGGACACCCGTGCACCCGGCACCCGTACTTCGCCGGTCCGTTCGTTCTTTCTCGTGCACCCGTTCCGCAGCTAGACCGGGTCCGATCTCAGATCCATCAAGACCGATCCCCCCCCCAAATTGAATCAACACTGGTGGCCCACGGCTCTGTGTCCCACGGCTCTGTTTGTTGGGGCCCGGCAGTTGACGCCGGGCTCCTTCTCTTCACTCCGCCGTGGGCATGGAGTGGTGGACGCCTCCGTGCTCGCAAGGTGAAGATGATGGACGATACCTTGCGATCGGACCTCTTGGAGTGGTTGGTGCCTTGGTGAAACTGAGCTGGAAGTAGATGACACCCCACCCAGGCACCGTGTCTGGGGGTCTAGACCACCAGTCACTTGGGGGCCCAGACGATCGAAGCTCTGAACTCAACTCTGTGAGCCCATGGCCATTCCTCCCTTGAAGGTTCTCGGCGAATCCCTCCAAAATGCTACTGTGGGTCAAGAGGATTTTGAAGAGTTCCACCTGCGGGAGGGAAAGAACCCCTGCACCTGGGAATGGATGGTCATGGCTTCAGTCATCATCAGCTGGATTAACCCAAGGTCCTCCTCAATTCCCCGATTTGTGGTAAGAATTCGTTTGATCCAATCGATTGAAAAGGGTACAATATGAGTCATGAGTATCAATCTATCAAGTATCCACGCATGCTATATACAAGCACCAAGGTGCAACTCTACAATTAATCACTGCATTAAACCAAAAAAAAAAAGGTCGCCCTTCCGAGCGACCAGGTGGCTTGGTCTGCACGCGCCAGCCTTTGTGTGACCTTGGGCACCTCCCTTTGCGGCATGACCAGCGACGAGATCCCCCGCGCGGCCGCGGAGCGTTTTGCCGTGGGGCAAGGTGATGGTCTGGCGACCTGGCATCGATCCTCAACGCGGTACGAGGTGTTTCGGTCGCCCCCGACGTCGGTCATATGGGGCTCAGTCTCTGCGGACATGTTCGTTTCGAGACTGATGAAGTCTCGAAACCGGACCCGAAAACGCTCAAGAGGGAGCCCTCGATGTTGAAGTATCTTATAATGTCTTATAATATACAGTCCATTCAATCGACCAGCTGTACAACAGGAATGGTATTTCGCGAAGTTTGCATTGCCTCTAGGCCTGGAGGTCGCACATCGGAAAATCCGACGTGACTTCAAATGGACGACGGATAGCACCACCACGACTTTCTTGGATTTTGAGTTTATGATTACATAATCGTTCATTTGATAAGTTTTGGATGTTTTGAATGTCATCATCCACCGATGTCCATCAAAGGTATTTACCTTTAGACCACTCATGCATGCAAGGTGATCATTGGTTTGCAGAGGACCTTCTACGACGAGGCCTGGCAAACATGTCTTTGACATCGTTTAGACTGGAGCAGTTTGGAATGCCAGGGCGACATTTCTATCATTGCTATGTTGTTTTTTACGGAGGGTTCAGGGCTTCACCGAGGTGAAGTTGCGACCTGGAGACCTTACTGTAACTCAATAGCAATACCCCATCATAGCGGGCTGGCCACTGGAACCAGGCCACAAGCTTGCACATTTGGGGCCTGTGCGACGACGTGATGAAGCTCTTGGCCAAGGAGCTCCGACTGAAGATCCCTGAGACCAAGGCCTTGCGCCGTGGGGAGGAATGGGTGAGGAATCATCCCAGGCTCACCTACAACACGCCCGTCCGAAGCGCCAAAGATCCCATGTGAAGCCCAGCTCGGGCTGAAATGATGACGAGCTGGTAAAGACGAGGATTTGGCCGAGAGGGCAGGAGTTAGATGGTGTTAGAGGCATGTTGAATCCGTTTCAAGCATTTACACTGCAAATCTGTACAGAAGTGGCAGTGTTGGTACTGTGTCCTTGCAGCTTTGTGCTGCCACTATGATGCGCAGAGTAGCATCAAAATGAGCTGATGCGTTGGCCACGCCGCCATGTGCCATGGACAAGGCTCACGTGTAGCCAAAAGTGTAATGAGGCGGACATTCTTAGTGGGATGCCGCAATGGCCGGAGCTACCTGGGGTAGCTGGGTTGATCGGACTAAGCTGCATGCCAGATTTGGGGTCCCAGTTGGCTGACACCCCAAGATTCTGACCCAGGTCGCCCTCCCTCAGCATATAGAAATATGTAGTACCTCCCTCTTTCGGCCGGAGCGACCTGAAACTCGATCGTTCAAGTGGTCACACGGCAGGCAGAACTCGGAAAGATGTACGGTATGTACAGACTGTTCATGACAAAAAAGAACCATCATGTCATGATGAACAGGTTTTACACTCCAAATGAGTGGTGCTCTTATAATCAAGAGTCTACATTATAAGCTTTCTTCAACTCCTCCTGGCCACAAACTCCCATGAATATTTTTGTCGCAGCTCTTTTGGGATTAATGTCTCCTGGTATAACTATCTCATACTCACAATTTCCAAGCGACGTCAACTGCCCTTAACACTTCAGCAGCCGCTTCTTCCGCCCCCCTGTCGCTGAACCTGGAACCAAAAACACAAAAGAAGAACACGCGGAACCTTCACCATCTTCCAGCGTCGTCGTTCCCGCTGGTTCCGCTCGAGCTTCGCGAACTGAGGATGGCCAAGCGGGCAAACACTTCGCCATCCTCCGAGACCAACGTACCTTGAGGCGCGGCCAAACCCGAAAAAACGAGACGAAGAGACAAAGGCAGAACGCACGAAGCTGCACCGGTTTCTTTTGGGAGGTGGGTTCGATTGAACCATGAAGTGTGAACCAAACCATTTTGTGGGTTGGAAGTGGCTTTCAATCAATTCGCTGTAGGTTTCTGGGTTCGAGCTTCTGGGGGGGCATGTTTCAGCCGGATTTGCAACCGACAAACATTCGTTGTGCACAACCCACTCTTGCTGGAATGCTTGGTTATGACTGGCGTGAGTGAAGCTCAGCATTTCAGCCGACAGTCGGCCTTTCACGCAATGTATGCTGGCTACTGTATGTGCAAATATGTGCAATATGCTGTCCATGTCCTGCATGCAAAACAATGGACGCATAGTTTGCATAGTTACTTCCAACATCTACTGTGCTGAGTCTCTACTTGCACGGGAATGAGGGACTGAGAGACGGAATCCAGCCCTCACAACGTGCATGGATTTCCTTGCCAGGAGTGCACTGCTGGGCTTCGCTGATGGACGCCAGGTGAGGGAAGTCGTGTTCCACGCACCGGCGATGAGGGAAGTCGTTCACCGGCGTTCTCAAGTTGTTTTCTCAGGGCTTTGGCAAAAAAAACATAAACAGACGAGTGAATGTGCCATCCCGACCTCAATTAGAAAGAATAATCAACCACCGGTCCACGAGGCATTGTCTCAAATGAAGATAGGGAGACAGTGACAGTGCCTACGCGAAAGGAAACAGATGGAAAGCGTACAGATCACCAACTCAAAGCGCAGTGGTTTGCTACTTGGTTTGCTTGTCTCGACTGTTTAACATTGCCTTCTTTCACCCCCTGGCCCCCTGGTGAATTCCACTGAGGCATCCGGAGAATTTGGGTTCCCTGCTGACAGTCTGACCTGCCATACCTCGCTTTGGTACACCCTTAGACTCGACCCTTAGTCCCTTCGCAGAAGATCAAAGGACGGGAGAGGAAGAAGTGCCAAGTTGCCAAAGCCATTGAAGCTTGATGTTCGAGTTCCTATAAAGACTGGCGCTCGCGCTGATGGCCAAGTTGCCAGCCAGGTAGCAGTGCAGCTGATGCCAGAGGAGACTCCTGGAATCTGGAATCTCCTGGGCATTCAGAGAGACAGGTGTTTTTGATGTAATCTGCGACTGTTTCCGCGCTAGGATTTCGACTGTTGGTGCCCATGTGCAGATTTCTTTGCAACATGTGGTTTTGTTTCAACCCCCAGAATGTAAGTAATTATATTCCACACGTAGATTTGTGGGCAGGTTTTCAATTTGACAACATCGCAGAACTCGCAGGGTTGCAACAGACATTCACACTGCCATATGAAAGTTCTAGACGAATCTGCCAGGCTGTGGGAAGACTGCCAACCTTGTTCAAAGCAAGGTATTGACAGCATACCAAGCGGGGAGAAACTAAATCGGGAATCTCATTGTATCAACACAAGCTGCACACAAAACATCTTGACTATTGAATTGATCTTAGATGATCTTAGGATCTTGTGGAACAAGCTAGTGACATTGTGTGAGAATACCAAAAAAAGCTCGATAATATGTGAGCCGAGCTCTCTCCAGCTTCCCAGAAACAGTAGAAAAGATGCAACACTGGGTGACAACCAACAGAAACTGCAAGTTGTTCGAGGCGAGGCAAAGACTATGTCGTGGTTTTGTTTTTGTAAGCTTTTAGCATGTTTCATCAATGTTTGCACTGGCTGGAATGGGAGAAACTTTACTTTCGCAGCCCCAGTGGCCAGTGGCTGGCCCGGCTCATGGGCCCGGCGTCAGAGGAGGAAGAGCTGGGCCCGGAGGACATGGTGATCTTGGTGAGGCTGGGGGAAGGAAGGCCCACAGGTGACGGAATTGAAGTCAATAGGCCATATATATATATATATTTATAGAACTGCGAAGCTGGAAGAAGTGCTTGATGAACATAACGATTTGAAAGAAGCCTTCTGAGCCTAAGCCTTAGCCAAAAGAATGCTTGGACACATCTGCAGGGCCTTGTTCATGTATGGCTTATGGAGCCTCGCTCAAAAGAACCACTTCCTACTCGACCCTGCTTGGAAAGCGGTGCTTGTTGTGCTTTCCCTCTTTGGAGGCCTTGGCGCGTGATGGACAACCGCTTGCATGCCGCCACGGAAGTGATGGTCTCCCGGAACCAGACCTTGGCCCACTTCCAGGCAGAGCAGCTTCGCTCGAGGAGGTCACGACCCACCGAGCGGAGCCCAGGAGAAGATGACCGAGCGCTTCAAGGGCTTGTTGTTGGTACCGATCTCAGAGAGTGCGATGATGCAAGACTGTATGGAGGGGCACTTGAGCAGTGGCTGGATAACCACCTGGGTAGGGACGTTTCTTTTAGGAGTTGGGTAAGGATTCTGTATGATTTTGCGTTTCAGGTGAAAACAGTAATCACTCAGATCGGCTGACCCATGTGATGCGTGCACTGGTTACTTGATGTTGCACTGCACACCACCGATCATCACAAGTTTGAAGCAAAATGTCACCGACTGGCATTCTGGAGTTCAGAGGCCTTTGAAGCTGTGGCGCTGTTGAATTGCAGCTGTTTGCCGTTTGCAGCGTTTCCGATGCGTTTGCAGCATTTGCCATGTGTTCAATCCTTGAGTCTTTCTACACGAGTCAGATCACGTCAGGATGATGAGGATAAGGAGAACCACCCACAAGACCCTTCTGAGTGCCAGGACTGCTTTGTTTGGCTGAGCTCTTTGTTAGGAAGGGAAAAGCCGAGAGGCTGTCCCGACGCGCACCAGGACATGCTGGAAATTTGTGCAGCTCATAGTGCAGGTGGGAGACCGGCTGAGTGGTGTCCAATTCCCCACAGTCCTAGGCATTTGCTAGAGCAGCTAGAGCCCATGGAAGAGCGGACTCTTGAGCCTTCAGAATCCCAAGGCCCCCCCGATGACCGTGAAACGATGCAACTTGGCAGGAGTGGTGAGTTATGGCGGGTGGGTAGTACCCGTGGCATTTGCACATTTGCACTTGGAGAAAGTGAGTGTCATTGACCAATCTGTGAAGAATCACGTGGCATCGTATATGTTTGAGCCTCAAAAATTATATAACATTGTAACAAGCTTGTGTTAGAGATACATGTTGATTTGGACGCATCGTTGTTTAAACACTGGATTTGGAATGCTTTGGAGGTGAACCCTCTCCCAATCCTCAGCTTCGAAGGGAGCTGTTGCAGTAATCTTTGGATATGACGATGGAAAAGGTCCAGAAGTCCAGCACAAGATTTACAATTCATATAATATATTTGTGTTAAGAGTGCAACCAATGTGGCACAGGGTCCATTCGGGTCTGGCCTTGAATCCCAGGCCTCACACGGCCACCCCAGGCGAGACCTTGAAGTGGGCAGAGTCGAGACTCTCCGAGCGCGGAAATCCCAAGCCGCTGGCAGACTTCAAGGCGTGGAAGAGCTGAACGCAAGGCAGGAGGTTAAGAAGCTAGTAGTAACAAGTACCACGCTTCTAGGAACAAGTGCCTTACTAGTAGTAACAAGAAGCTATTAATCATGTTGCGAAAGCCAGCCGATAGGCTAGGCCCTAGGCTGAAGTGCTGGATGGGTGAACGAAGTGAGTATCAGGGGGTGTGGGGTGGGGTGGTTGCTTTTCGGGCAGGGTGAACCCAGAGTCTGGTGGGGGAGAGCATGTTTATAAGGTCCTTGATGCCAAAAAGGTTTATCATTAGCATCACAAAGTGGCCAGGCGTCGGTCTAGTTGTGGGTATGATTCTTCCCTAGCAAACATGGACACGGTCAGCTGTAAAGACAGCGGCCAGCAAGCAGGCGTGTTACCGCTATGAAGACCTCAACTGCTCCGCCGTAGGGTCCACGTAAACGCATCGAGACGCCCTTATCAATCGTTTTGTCACGGGCTTGGGGAAGACAAAGGAGTGCTATTTAGCGAGGTCCCCAAAAAGAATATGTTCCCTGTCTCTACGAGGGCTGGCTTTCGTCCCCTGGCTACATCCCCCCAGCACCCATGTCTAAAACAAGGTGTTTCCACCATTATAGAACACATGTTTGGAGTGGCAGAATTAGGGATGAGTATTAGGGCAGCTGGGACTATGCTAGAGCTGCTAGAGTGATGCTATGATGAGTTAGACGGCACCCTTTCAGAAATGAAGTCCGTTCACTCGACTTGACGCCAGGGGGCTCGGCCGGACACACATCCCACCCATCCCCCGTTCGAAGGAGCTCCGCGATGGCGTCACGGTGATCCTCCGTTCGCAGCGGGCGGCCCGACATGGACCGGCGGCGGCTCAGGACGTGGGTCAGAGGTGTTCTGAACAAAAAGGCCCAAAGGGTGGAAAGCAGTCAACTGCGTATAGAGGTCTCAAGAGAATGGATCATAATCGATCACATTTTGAGTTCCAATGAATTTATACATGGTGTAAATTTGCATGTAAGATTTGTAACATGCAGACATAACTGAACTCGCCGATTGATTCAGGGAAGGGAGGGCACTCTTCCTTTGGGGCCTGTCCAGAACAAAATCTCGTGCCAGAGACCACACAGCAATTTTGGCGTACTTTGAATGCACATCAACAAATGCACATCAACACCAGTACAACCGAAGGGTGGTGACGGTGGTGTTTTCAGGAGTTTGTGCCATTTAGGGGGGGAACAGTGCAGTAATACCATTGAACACCCTGGAACTTCATAGATTTTGCCCATGTCACACCCATCAAAGGAACTAGGAGTAGCCAAAGCCGAAGCGACCAACCACCCAATGGCCTGAGAGCTCGCATGTTGCGAGGAGACAGGCAAGAGCACTGGGAAGGGTCCTGGAAAGCCCGGAGCCAAAGCCAAAGCGCCTGCTCAGGCTGTGGCTGGGCAGGGTTGACAACCGTTCCAACACTTCGGCACTTGTTCATTGCAGCAGCATGTTCACCTACGAAACCCTTTTTGTCACAGCTGCGGGGTTGCGATCGAAGATAGATTTGCAACATTCTGTGTGGCCCTGGCATTCCATTTAAAGGGGGGGCCTTTGTCATAAATTTGGTTGACCTATGCAATGCCCATTGCTTGACCAAAACAGCAAGGGAAGCCACTTCCTCTTATTCTAGAATCTACTGAATTTTTGTACTAAATTTTACTACATAGTTGTTTACAATATACATTTGTATATATATATATATTATATCCATATATGCTAGCCCCCCCCAAAAAAATGTTTCTGAGTGCTGGTGTGCAGTTGGTAAGCATATTTGTTCATTTAACTATGTACTACAAAAATGTCCAAATCCATAAGGTTATGTGTTTACTAAACAGTTCTTGGATGTAGTAATCTATATAATTCCATGCAACCCCCATGCAAAAACATATGTCTTGCTTCTAGGGTGTGAATTGTACTGCTCTTATTGAATGCAGTTGAGCAAGTACATCATAATCAGAAGGCAAAGAATTGCAAACCCTAAATATAACTAAACTTAGATTTAAATTTCAATCTATTCAACTCTACTCCGTATATTCAACTTCAAATTTGAGTTTATTTAGTTTATTTGTAAATTCTACGTTGATTCAAATGTCTATCGCTATAGATTCTAACTTACTTGGGATGCAATGCAAGCCTAATTTTAAGTTGATTTCAAGCTAATTTTAACTTCAATGCTATACAAGTCAGATTCAATTCTAATAGTGTATTATTTTTCTATTTAGTTTTAATTTGAGTGAAACTAGCATTTACTTCTAGAGAAGTGGTGTTACTTTGAACATGAGAGATTTTATGTAGTTTTTTCCAATATAGAAGCATTTGCTTTCTTAAATGAATTAAATTCACCACCAGCAACGCCCACTCTCTAGAATGACACCAAAACTGAATTAGAATTCCATGTGCATTGAACTAGAATCAATATAGGATTAAATTAGACATATAGAAACCAAACATAATTTGCAATGACGATAGTGTAAAATTAGATGTGTAAAACAATTGAATCTGAACTGTATAAAGGCATTAACAATTGAAATTAATTACCAGTAAATTGGAATAGTCAAAGTTACAATTGAATCCAAAATAGAATGAAATAGAACTAAATTAGAAGTAGACTGGAATTCAATTCTACACATTGAATGAAACACATTGAATAAGAATACATTACTTAAATTGAAATTGACTTAGAACTAAGGTAGAATTGAATTAGAGTTGTTTTACCTAGAGCTTGGTTAGTAGAACAGTATGGACTTAGAATTAAATTGGAATCTAAGTTCAATTACTGTAGAATTGAACTAGATCTAATTTGCAATCTCAATTTGATGTCAATTATATAAAGTTCAATTAGGATCATTATATTTTTAAGTTAGAAGCAGGTTGCAGATTTAAATTTAGATTCAAGTGGGAATTCAATTAGATCTAAAATAGCCAAACATAATTAGAATTAAAACAGACATAAATAAATTAGAATAAATACTGCATTAGAATTTGTCTATACAATGATATTAAGCTGAAATATGTCTATAATTAGAATTCAATTAGGCTCAACTTACGCTTAATGTAGAACTATGTTACATACTCAAATTAGAAGCAATTTAAAGTCAATTAGACTCAACTTAGAAATTTAAATAGAAATATATAGAAGTGATTTTAAATTAGAATAAGAATTGACTTAGAATCTAGTTATATTGTATGTGCACTAAAATTCATAGAAGTAAATTTGAGTTGAATTAGTTGTTAATTAGAATTGAATGAGAAACAAATGTCGGTAATCAGTAATATTCCAGGATCAAAATGTACTTATATAGTGCAATTTTGTCACTACCAGAGCATGCCAGAGAATGCATTCCTTCCCAAAACCAAGATTCAAGATCCAAGATTTGCACAGAAGTCTTGTGGACAATCTTGGATTTGGGATTTGCCAGAACATCCTTATCACTGTATCAATCCAAGATTTTAGCCAGGAGTCTTGTGGGAATCTTGGATCTTGAATGCATTCTGAATGCATTCCTTCCAAAGTTATTTAACATGCCGGAATTTAGAATCTCTGGACAAACAAGTTATGAAACCAACCTACCTGCACAATATATATATATGGTACCCCAAAAACCAAGGTCCAAAAGGCCTCCAAGAATAGACACAAAATATTGCAAATACCAGCAAAAGTGAGGTGAACATAGGTATTTTTTGGGGGGTACCATATATATATATATATATATACATGGTATTATTATGTAGGTGTTCATTTCCGATGTCTTCCTTGATGCTGTTGATTCGCTTTCAGTATGATGTCACACGAGTGAGTGCAGGGCCAAAAGGGAGGGGCCAAAGGACCAAGCGTGACGGTGTGGCGCCTGGATTTGGGCCTAAGAGCTTGGGCTCTCCTAGAGATAGAGATGCTTCCATTGGGAGACAGCGATCTGTCCTTGACAAGCTTTGGAGTGGGGCCACCATGTTGGTTGAGAAACTTTGATCTTGCGACATTCGATCCAGCTGTTTTAAGCTAGCACTCGTAGGTGAATTGGGGAATGCAGGCGTGCAGCTTGTGGAAGCTACAATGTACAATCTCATTTGTTGATTAGGTGGTGCCTGTGATAGGTTATTTGTTTATTTGGTTTGCTCGTACATGGGAACCATTTTGACACACTTATATACACTTACACTTGAAGCTCCAACTTGCCTGATCAGTTGAAGCTTGAACCTTTTTTTCAACTACATGTTTTCTCCAAGGTGGCTGCCCCTGCAAGAGAGCGTGGTCTTGTGATCAAGGCAGCTGATCTGCGCGTGCACGGTAGACTTACAAGTCTATGCTAGGTATGCCTAGCTGGTGTGGAGGTCCAGCTACTTGTAAGGAAAACGCATGTGACGAGGCAAATCGGCCATTCACTACCTAGACTCAGAAGGAGAAACCTCCGTATCACATAGAAATTCATGGTGGATTGAGGCAAGGATCGCAGCATGTCAGGTGGCTCATCCTGAAGCTGAGGAGCATCAGCCTCAGTGGGTGCATGCCGCAGAGGCAAAGTGAGAGCACCGTCAATCATGTGAGGAATGGATTATATATGACTATCCCCAATGGCTTCCTTTGACGATAGATGTTGTCCTTTTCTCATGTGCCAAGAAAGGCAGAACCCTCTCCATGTCCTTTGGTTGCACTTTGGCTTCTGTGAAATGCTTGAGTCATTCATTTGGGTGCAATGCACCTTCCATGTTTTGGTGGATCAACCTTGGTCCCTCGTTTTGATGGAATGCGCCCTCAACCCCCCAAAAAAAAACAAAAGAGCAGACACGAGAAATCAATATGCTGTTTGAGCTCCAATAGGTTCACCCGCATACATTTTCTCATTTGAGATGCTGCATGATTGATCTAACATGCACATGCGGCTGTGATATGCTATGATGAAATAAGACATGTGAGTGCTCACAAACAAGCACATCTACATTGTCCCTTGTGAGATGAGAAAGCTTGCAGCTTAGGTCGACCATGTGACGGCTTCGTTTTCGAGCCAAGGCCGACATGACAACGTTCAACTCTTGGGAGTTTTGTTGCTCAGTTGTCAAAGCTTCACTGTTTGTCAAAGGCTTCATTGTGTGCAGAACATGTCAAAAGTAGGAAGGACTTCCCCATGGACGACCGACACAGGTGCATGGCACCGACGATTGATTTCGTCTCGCTTGCCTGAAAAAGAAGCCGAAGCCGCTGACAGACTGCGACGCTGACAGAAGCCACTAGAGAAGTCAATGGTGGCAAGGTGTCACGCTTTAAGTTGCCTACAAGTAGGAAGGCTGCGCACAAAATGTTTAACATTTGGGATTTGGCCATGCTGGCTGTGCTTCAAGAATTGCACTGTCAAACCATACAAGTGGCCAAAATCCGAATTTCCAGATGTTTGGAGCATCGTTTGTGTCGCGTTTCTGATGTTTCAGGGTGGCCTCCCGCCCGAGGTCGAGGCTTCGTTTGTGGAGTCGGACGGGCAACTTCATAAGTGCAAGCTGGGAGGCCAAGCCCAGTGCATCTGAAGAAAGTCGCACGAAGGATAAAAACAGCAAAAAACATTTAAAAAACAACTGAAAGCATTGGGATTGAGAGCGAAAAGTTGAGCAAAGAACCCAACTAGGTGGCTGTGAAATGTGTGAGGTTTGTGCCACGATGTGATATGTGTGAACATGGAGACATGTTTGTTCTCGCCATTGCAGAGCCTATACTTACAATATGTTGCTGGGAATTGTAGATTGTAGAGGTTGTATGATACTGTAGGAGCCTAAAATTGATTTGTTAATTATGATTTATTGAGCGTTACATATAGTCACCTTAAAGCTCCTTTCACCTTGCATGTCTCGTTTCTTCGTGCCCTCGTGCTCATCTCGGGGAGCTGGTCTCTCCGAGGCTTCGCGTGGAGCTGGAGCCTTGAGAGTTTGTCCTCTGGACGGTCCATGGAGGCGGAGGTACCCAAGTTGGAAACCTGGAAGTAAAGCTAAGGACCACAACCTACAAGCGATGGCCTTCAACCTATACAAGCGATGGCCTTCAA